AACACAACAAACGGGAATGCAACAATCAACCCAATGTCAAACAGACCCATTAGACATCAAACCAAATATGCAAATATCAAATCCTGTTAAACAAGAACTTTCTTCACCTATTCAAGTACAAGTTCAAAGTGGCTCTCCTGCAGGACAGGTAGCCTCACCTAGAATGATGGGCAAAGGATCACAGAGGATTCAAAGTCCTGTAAACACCAGTGGTAATTCCAATAAGCAAATTGTTAGTCCCAGCAGTAACTCAAGTCCTTTAGTAAGTCCAAGACAAGGAGTAAAGAGACCTGCATCTAGCCCAATTTGCAGACAAATTAATCGTAGTGACTTGTAAGTGTAACATTTTATCAATATGATTTTTATTTTTAACTCTTTAGTATTGTACTTACAAATGTATTTTTTTATGTTTACAGATTAGAGCAACAATTGAAAATTGATCAAAACGGTGCGATAAATCCGGATGTGAACACACCATTTTTGAGTAAGCGTGATGCTTGTAAACGTCTTGTACGATATCACTGTTTAAACGAACAAGTTCTTAGTTCCAAGGATTTGGCAAAAGCTGATGAGATATTTGAAGAAACAGCAAAACATCTATTATCAAAATTTAACTCTATGATGAACAAGTACACGTATCTTCTTTTGATGGAGAGCATGGTATTAAAAATGTTTAATCTTAATTTTTTCATTCATATGTTTCCAATTTAACTATTAAAAAAAACTTACAGCGAGAAGTGAGGACATCAGAATTGATGATGATTGATAGAACTTTTGTTGCTGAAGAACAAAATATTTTAAATAGGTTACGAGAACAAGAGGCTAAAGTTAATGGTAAAGTTAACGAATTAGTAAATAAATTCTTATGGTATCTTATTTATTATAGTAACCGTTTCATTATATATTATTTTATAGAAGAGTTCAAAAAAGAAGAAAAGCCATTGGTGCCAAAGGTTGAACCTGGTCTTACAGAGGAAGACAAATTATCCCCACCATTAACTAATGTATCTGTAAAACGTGAGTTAGAAGATGACTTTCCAAGTGATGAAATGGAATGTAAACCAGTGATTAAATCAGCAAGCTGTACTAGTGGTGATTATGACGAGTGGGTAGAAATACAAAAAGAACTTGGTGTATATCCATCTACCACGGACTCGTTTAAATGTAAAAATAGTAATAATAGTGGTAGTAATAGTGCGTGTGCTGTGGCTGTTACGAGGTCGTCCAAAACTGAAAGAACACGAGCGAATGGTGAATGTCGAACAACCGTACCAAGTACGAGTGTTTCTGGAGTTCAAAACACAGTTATAAAAGACAATTGCGAACAAGATAATACTCCAGTTTTTGAAAGACGATGGAGTAGTGCTACTGATCTCGAACGAGATTTGTTAGAAGATACAGACAGCTTAGATGGACTGGCCTTACATTCTCAAACACAATGTCCAGGCTCTCTTCATGTAACTACCGAAAGTGGAAACGGTAATGAGCATGATGACATTACCGCACAGGTACAATCTGCCATTGATAGCATTCTTAATCTTAAAAAACGTCCTACAAATACATTACCTGGCAATAGTGGTAACAGTGCATCACAGTCCAGTGAATCGAAGGACACAGTGCTTGACCAAGCAGTCCGCAGCATTTTAGGCTCGTGACCCTCCTTTAATAAAGTATGTTAAACAAGTGAAGTTAATGGTGAACATCATGCTAATTGTTCGTTTTGAAAATTTTAAAAGGACTATACATTTTTTTGGTGATTTTTTTGTGGTTATGTGAATAATATAAAAACTATGTTTGATATTAAGAATGCGACATTATCTTTGGTAATGCATATTTGAAATCCTGCAAATTGTTGCTAAATTATTTGTACAAATCCTACAGTCTTAATTTCATTTATACATAAATTATATAGACTATCTGGATTATGCAATTTTATATACTTCTCCAAAATTTATCAAAATTTTTTTCTGCAATGGCAATAACTATTCATAATATAAAAACATGTATACTTTCCAGTAGTCTAGCTGTAATAAAGCCATCGCGTTTACCTAAATCTAGCAGCTGTACATGTGGATAGATAGACAAATAGATTGATAGATAGATAGATAGTTAAATAAATAGATAATTCGCTCAGATTTTTCAATCTGCCACTTTGTAATGTAATTTTGTAAAAAGTAATTATTTAAAACAACTTATTCCACTTTGTCTGTAGTACTTGTAGAGAAATCTTACGGATACTTAAAACTGGGTCGGTAAATTGTACATACATTTTTAACGTGTATTATTAATATTAATAATATTATTAATATTATTGCTATTATTATTATTATTGTTATTGAGATTCATTCTCAGAATTATTATTGTATTATTATTATTATGATTATTATTATCATTATGATTGTCATTAATATTATTATCATTATCATTACTATTATTATCATTATTATTATTACTACTATTATTGTCAACGATACCATCATTTCAAATAATGAGAAATGTGTGGTATAAAGAGAAAGTAGTGGTTTAAGAGACTGACATGGAAGACAATGAAAACAGAAGGCAAATGATATATAAGGTGAAAAGGGAACACAAAACTTCTATATTAATTTGAATTTATTTCTATTTAATATATATATGCAGTCTTAAATGTTAAAATGCAAAATCAAACAGACAGACATTTTTTAAGTAGTTATAGTATTTTACAAGTTTTTTGTCATCACATGAAATCACAATAGATCTGAGTAAATGATGAGTACATGTGTAGAGAGCACATGTGTGGAAAAAGGGTAATTACACATTGGTAACATTTTAAATAAATAGTAGATGACCGGTGAGTAAGACTTAGCAACAAATCTTTCTATATGTGCCTTTTTATTTTTTACATAGTTGATGACTAATATATCTTGTATGTACACTTAACTTGTAATTTTGATTCAATCAGTGCTAACATATTGAATAATAAACATAGATTTCTTAATCAGTATGTTATACATACAAGATTATGGTCTGATTTAATCATTTTCTGAAGATCATACATTAAAAGAATAACTGATCACTACCAGCAGTGCTTTTGCAAAAAAATTTTGTTATGTGATTGTATTTTTACATCCTTTTCCCACAAATATTCATGACAGCTCTCTATACACAGAGGCAATGAAATGTTTTTGGCAAAAGCAATCCAAGACTGACGTATATACAGAGAATCAAGCAAAACTATGTAATGTATTACAATAAGAAATAATCATTTGTACATAATATTCAATTACACTCTCGACGGCAATCGTGACTTAATGAATTCTTCAAAGATTTTAAAATTTGGATATGCTAAAGTTCTTTTGATCCTAATAAATTGCCGATATTTCACGAGTACGTGTATGAAAATATTTTTATCCTTATCTACAATTAAGATTTCAGTTTGCAGCATAAAATTTGATTTCCTATACTGAATGTTCTACATAATAGAGTAAGATGCCTGACGAGAGTGAAGTCAAGTGGTAAATACGATAAAATGTAATTATCATTATCAATTACATGATTTTAGATATCATGAACTTCTTGTAGTGAACAACACCTCTCCTAATTATTATGGAAGTATCAATATTCCAATTTTAATCACAAGTTTAGGTGCCTTATAAGATAATGATCAGTAAACTTTTTTATCCTGTCAGATATGCAGTACTTTAATAGAGGCACATGAAATTGTTGAATGTTTCACATAGTTCAAGCAGTTTATTGTATTCCTAATATAACTATGCATATATATATTATGTAATTTTAAGGAAGATGTAACTAATAAGGTTTGATATTACATGTGTATACACATTATTTATATGTATATACACATATAATATCAAACCTTATTAGTTACATCTTCCTTAAAATTACATAATTTTTATAAATCATTATGTAATTTAATACTAGTGCATTAAGGCACTTTTCTAACAAATGTTTAAATATGCTTTGTATGATGTTTGCCTTACACTAAATTGCATGTTTATGTATGTGCCTACATTCTAACATATACCAAAGAAAACAAAATTAGTTCAAATTAAATTATAGTATATATTTGACATATATAGTTATGATTACAAATGTGTTTTAAATTAATGTTTTCCACTTATAGATATACCTTATGAAATTTAGTTTGGAATCATTTTAATGGACCCTTTTAGAATATGTAATCACGTGAAAAGATTCCGAAATAGAAATGCAATGAAATAACGTTAATTGAATATATAAAAATAATGTTGGGT